CCGTCAATTGCAATTTCAATTTCTTCCATTACATCTCGGGATGTACTTGGAATACTCGTTCTCTCATCCTCGGTGTCAGAACTAGAAATAATCGGTGCCCTTTTCTTGTTACGACGTATGTATATTGAAGAAGTTTTCCTCTGCTCTACCCGAGGATCCTTCCATTTCTGCAGTTTCAGTGGGTTCAGAATCTTCACTGTAATCATCACTTTCATTCACTTAATTTTGGTAAATTTCTTATTATATCTCGTGTTTTTACTCATGATTGCTAGAAAAGGATAATCAGAGAAAGTAAAAAATAACGTGTCCTAATCCAATTACCCTCTTGTAAATACTCGATCGATTGAGCGGTTTTCGAGATATTTAATTGCAAATTTTGAATTCCGTCAAATTGACGGGTCCCGTAAACCTAGTGTTAAATAGCTATAAATTTTTACTTTATCTTGCAGTTGCAATCAGGGCTGTAACTAATACAATAACATAATAATTGAAATAAAGTTTGAATAATTTTTTTTTTATTTGAAATTCCGAATATTTGATCAACAATAATTTTTATATCTTTAATCCCAAATACCGGAATGAAAAATAAAAATAAACTCTTTATCCCAAAAATCGGGTTTATTTAACCCCAAATACCGGAATGGTAATTTTTTTTAACTCAAGCTTATAATTAAAAGTTGAAAATATAATTTAGAATATAGATTTTTTCACGTGTGCGTACTTCGTGTTCTATCATTTTGTTTATTTTGAAAAACGGAAAGCTTATTTTATCTCTGGGATAGTATGAGATAACTTTATAGGAACCGCGTTCAAAATTAGATAGTGGGCGTGGCACCGCCCACTTTTAGGTGAAAACCCATATCTTGATGTGCTTAACCGATTTCAACCAAATTCGGTGCATAACGTTCTTTTTATATTTCTATGTCATGGTGCGAAAATGGACGAAATCGGACTACAACCACGCCTATTTCCAATATAACACCATTTTCAATTCGATCTGATTCTTTCACTTTCCACTATGCATATCAAGGAACAATGATATCGGGGTAAAACTTTGCGTGAATAATACGTTTAAAGTATGCCACCTTGTGACCAAAAATTGTCTAAATCGAACCAAAACTGTTCAAGCCCCTAAGTACTAAATATGTGGACCCCAGTGCCTATAGTTGACCTTCTACCGAAAATATCAGTCAATCTACAAAGAAATCTCAAACGAGTATACCATTTGACTTTGCGAGAGTATAAAATGTTCGGTTACATCCGAACTTAGCCCTTCCTTACTTGTTATTTTCAATTATTTCACCCGAAACATCGGAAGCTCAATACCATAATATTATGGTATTATTAAAAATTTAACTTTTATCCCAAAATTGGAATTAAAAATTGAAAATCTAATTTTTAATCCAAAAATTCGCAACACTGATTGTAATTGTTTTTTGATCGTGATAAGTGGCAACTGATAGATATTTATGTTATCTATTTACTATATAATTGCAAATTGGTAGCATAATTCAAATTTACTTTTTAGTCATTTGGCAAACGTAAATAAATGTGTGTAAGTATATGTAAACTTTCTAATATTTTATCTTTAAATATCACTTTCATTAGAAACTCTAAGAAATGCATAATTTATGCATATCCATATTGAATCACACAACTACAAGTATTACAACATAAGATTAAAATATAGTAATTCCTAATAGACACAGCAGCTACCAACATGCATGCATATTAAGCAGAGCGAGCGCGCATAAAATTACCACTGAGTTTTGTTGCTGTCTACCTTCAAATGTTGGTCGCCTTTTGACGTTGAGCGCTTTTACTATGTATTACAAATACTGTTGGTTTTTATGCAATCGACATTTCCATTTACAACAAAAAATGACAACAAAAACTTAAGATAAAAGATATTAATAGGCTAAAGCTGGTTGTCTACAAAGCAATGAAAGAGAAACGTGTTTAAAGAAATGTGGTGAAGAAAATGAAATCATCTACGATTTTTATTGTACAACAATGCTAATATTGAGGCTATAATTTCCTTAATCGTTTTTTGTTTTCATTTTATACTGGCATTTCTTAGAGCTGTGCGAATCGCACGAAATTGCATGAATAACATTAGTGCAGCAATTGTTGCCAAGTCTGCGGCTACATATACCTATGTATGTATGTACCGGTGCTCTGAATGAGTTGTGAAACAATAGACGCTTAACCAAACTTGTACACACACATACACTTTTCTACGATATAATGACGGCGCTGTGAAGCTTTTATTGCTTGATTCGGTTCCGCTGCATGCTGCATAATGTTTTTTATATTTGCGTGTTCATATCATTAAAATCAAATTCATAATCATTTTTGTGTTATAGTTAATGCGGCGCTTGGCGTGGCATAGAAAGGCGTTAATCGTTGAGGTAGTAACTAAACGTGAATTTGTTCCAATTATGCTCAATGGAATTAATAGCATTATTGTTTAATTGTGTGCTGATTTTTGCTAAAAAGAAAAAATAAAATCATAACGAAAAGGTTATTACCGCTTGCATGTTTTTTGCATAAACTGAATTTTTTGCAATGAAAACAGTCTAATATTTAACTCAAATTTGAAGATTTGTTTCATTCGCGTTTATGAACTAAAATTAAATACTATAAATAAAAACAGTTTATAGTTGTGATATTTTTATATTTTATATTGTTTACTATTTTGTCAAATTTATTCAATTTACGTCACAAAAATCCAAAAATTTATCAATCACTTAAATGAATTATTTGCAATGTTATTAACTTTGGCGAGTAAATATATTCATCGAGTTAGCAAAAGGCTCATGTTGATGGTACTGTTCGTAAATTGTTTTATTTTGTTTTTTTTTTGTGGGTGGTGGTTGGGTTGTTATACTCGTACGACTTTTTGAGTAAATGATATTGAGCGCTGTGTTGCTATGGCATTAGACACAAGCGAAATTATGATGTCATGCTTTGCAAATATGTATGTAGTTACTCAAAAATACAGACACTGAATACCATTTAACAAACCCCACACTCCTATGCACCTCATAAGATTGTGCAAAGCAAGTTTTTATTGTATGGAAGTGTAATATTTGTTATATTTTGCTTAAACTGGCGATTTGCTCGTTGTTCTTGTTTTCAATTGTTGTTTGAGTATTTAGTTTGCTCATCTAGGCGTTTATTTACTGACCAACATTGCTCAATATTTACGAATGAATATTGCTTCCAGTATTTTCATAACGATTTTTATTGATTGTGTTTTATTTATTCAGTTTTTTTTTTTTTAATTTCCTCTTGCGCGCACATTTCGTGTCTGCACTGTATTCTTGCAAAATTATTATATAAAAGAAATAGAACAAGCATTGCTTGCTCAAACGCACACAAGCTAAGTTTATATGTACAATCATGTATTAATATTTGCGCGCCGTATAAACGCGTGTGGAAAAATGCAACGCATTTACTATGTTAATTGAAATAAAATGAGGACACCAGGTCCGGTCTTACCCAGTCCGGCCCGCCTAACTACTAACTGCGTTATCCGTAAAGTCTATATTTACTACATACAGCGTATATTTTAGGGAAAGTTTTGCCGTTTGTAAGCTTGGTAGTTTCTTACCAGTTGACACCTAATTTGTTTGAAAATTGCATGCAAATTGTTGTGTACTTTATAGCTAAGAGTAATTATTTTCATATACATTTTAGCTATTTATTTGCATATAAAATACTCATATCCACTTTTTAAAAAAAAAATTTTATTCTAGTGTAGTTTTTGTATTTTTACCTTGAACAGAGTATATTAAGTCTGCCACCAAGTTTGTAAATTTAAGACAAGTTGAGTTGATTTAGCCATGTTTATTTGTCTGTCACTCCATTTTTGCGACCTTGATTAGAAATTTTGCACAGGGCCTTGACCCACCAAAAAGCTGCTTATTTGTTGGAAATGTAGATATTGTATCACTATAGTATATAGCTGTTGTACAAACTGAACGATCCAAACCGAGTTCTTGTCGACAAAATTTTATACACTGAACAGGGTATATTAAGTTTGCTACAAAGTTTGTAATACCCAGAAAGAAACGTCGGAGATCCTATAAAGTATACATATAAATTAATTATCAACTTGATGAGCTGAGTCGATTGCGCCTGTCCGTCCGTCTGTCTGTATATACGCGGACTAGTCCCACAGTTTTTAAGTTATCGACCACCATAGCATATAGCTGCCATACAAACTGAACGGTCAAAATCATGTTTTTGTATGTAGAACTTTTATTTGTGAAGGTTATTATAGCTTCGGCGCGGCCGAAGTAGCTTTTGTATTTTTTCTTTATTCATTGATCGAATACTATTCGTTTTCTTAATTGCTTTATTTAATTTACTTTAAAACAGCCAGAAAAATATAAAATAAAGTAATTGTGAATACATTAGCGCTTGCTTTTTAAAAAGTCTCAGGTTACTATTTGAAATTGGAAGCAATGTTTTGGTTTACTGTAGCTATGAAATTTGCCAAAGAGAGCAAATTACCAATTGCAGCATTATTTTTTATTTTAGTGTTTTTGTTTTTATTTTAATCTTCATGATTGCGAAATTGTTTTTTTTTTTAAATTGCGCAGTCTTGTTTTGAAAGTATTTTTTTTGTAACAGATGAATTTCATTGATGTGGCAAAAGGCATGTCCAATTAGAAAAGTATTTCAAGCCAGTAATTTTTCTAGTAAAAATATTTAACGTCTAAAACACATGTCGAAATGGTTTGAGAACTTTAAACCTTTACATCGAGAATTAGAGCATCCTCTACTATATTAAAAACCGTCAGACCTTATGTAGTCAAAAAATGGTATTTTTCGCTTTTTACCTTGAATTGATGGCCTTTTATATGTTTGCCAGTCTTTTATGTCTTAGGCACAATTTTAATTTTCATAATTCACATATTCGATTGTTTTTAACTATTATATACACATTAACATGCATTGTCGTTAATTTTGTCTTAATTTTTTGCTTTCAGATATTGAATTAATCGGCATTTTGGTGATTGAAAAAAAAATAGTATTAACGTAATACTATACTTATCTCATGATTGATTGTTAATTGGTAAGTTTTTATATAATATAATCCTATTGACGTTTTAATTAATAATAAATTTATTTATTAAAATGCGTAAATCGTATGAGTGCTGATTTTTTCCCTGCATAATTAAATAGTTATAAACACTTCACTTCTTTTGGTTCATCTTTCCAATGGTTTGTAGTATATGCATATCATATGTACCTATGTATGTCATAATAGCAATGATTGATGTGTCCAGCCCACCCGCACACATATTTATTTGGATAACTATTTAGTTCCGTTGTTGTCCATTTCGCAAAGTTCTTCCGTCCATTATGAACTGTCATCACAAAATATACATATGTATGATTGTGTGTCTGCACGTAAATTTCTAGTCATGAGCAAACCAAGTAGATACATAGATTATGCTTGGATGCAAACATTTTGCTTATATGTAAGCATGCAGTACATACAGATGTTTATATTCACTTTCCGGTCACTTAAACTTAATTGTGTCTAAAAGTGCGGCTGAAGGTCTTGAGACTCGTCAATTTGCAGGAAAAAATATTGAACTGTTTGTTCGTTCTGCTTTTGCTGTGTTGCATGAACCACACCCGCAATTGCTACTGTCAACGTCTCTTTGTTTTGGTTTAAATTGAAGGAAACACTGAACAAACTTCGAGTTTGTTCGTCGGCGAGTTGTAATTTGTTTGCTCGTTGAATGCTTTTCGTGGTTTTTATTAAAACGTGGACAACAGCGAAATTTTGCAGGTTTCCAACTTCTCTTACTTTAAGAAGTAGTCGAAAAAATATTTATAATATATAATTTAATATAATTTCACATAGTATGTCTCTATTATATTGTTAAAAATCGTTAAGGGTGTGTGTGAGTAATTATTTTAATTGTACGCCTCATTATTTATTTTGTTTTGAATGTAGTTCGAGGTTTTTGGCTGGAAGTGTAATTTGAAACTATTAACGCATTTAAGCATAACTTAATTCACTAAATTGAGATGTGCGAAGTAGAGTTAGAAAATTAGCGAAAATTGTGGTTGAGTCAAATATAAATTTAATAGACATAAAAATGCAAGTGCAATGAACGGGCGCAATCAAATAGTATCTAGTACTATAATCACGCTTATACTGAGTTGCGCATATGATCTCAAGTTTTTTAGTTCAACAAATTATTAGAAATAAAGGCTATGTACTGCAAGTAAGTTTTGTTAAAACGTTTCAGCGTTAAGTTTCAAATTATTTCGTTGGCTATGAGGAAGAAGTCACGGTCAGTAAAACAAAAGAAAGTGCATAAAAAGTTAATAAAAATAATTGAATTATATACTATCCATACAAACATATGTAGCTCAAAAAAAAATGGATTGAAAAAAACTACAATAACAATATTAATAATACTAAAAACCACCACCTTCATCACTGCCGTAGTCGCCGTCATAAACATCGCCTCAAATTGGGAGCAATCGCGCGAGTTCGGAAAGAGTTCATTTACCTTCGTCACACTTGAAAATTTCCAACATTGCTCCGGCAGTCGGTAGAGTGTGCTTCTTTGGAGTTGAAGTATTTTTGGTTGCCAACTTTTTGTATTGTTTTATGTTTGTTTTTTGTTTTCGGGAGCTTTACCCAAGGGGAATGATGTTGATCGCTGTGGATCAAATTGTAGGAAGGTGCATAAGAAAAATAAAAAATACTTATTTTGGATACGAACAGTAGTTGTGAGTAAAAATAGGTAATGATGACACAAATCTTTTTTAAATCTCAATTCTTATACGGTAATAACTTTTTCATGGAGCTTAGCGGATCTCTAGAGGAATTTAACTTGAGTTTTTAATTAAAATTTATGGAGACATTAGCAATTGCTTTGTACTAATCTTCTCATTTTTAAACGCTTTTAGAATGTCACATAAAATACTGTATACTTTATCTAACCACTTGACGGTCTTGTGTGTCAGTTGCATTTTTCGAAATTAAATTAAAGAAATGTCAACGTCGCCCGTCGTAGGCTAAGTTTGAGGTCTCGGTCGAAAGCCAAAGAGCGCAAAAGTATCATTGCCAAATCGCTTAAAAAATATTGTAATCTACATACATATGTAGGTATATAAAATTTCATTTACACATGGAAATGTGATATCACTCTGGCATAAGAAGCAGCAATGTAATTATGCCATGAATATTATAAATTCCATTTAAAGTCTACAGACTTTTCGTTTGAGGCAATTTCGTTTATAATTCCTTCGGTAATGGGCGGGTGGGTGTTTGGCATAAAAGAAAACACATGCATAGTAGTATGGATGTGCTAACGTCGTTAGAGCTTAATTCAATTAAGTCGATGATGAAAGTGATGACAACATTGTGTCAGTGTATCGGGGAAACTGCGAGTGAGGGGCCGTGTGCAAGGTTAAAGAATTTAAAATGTTCTCGTGGGGAAATTTTTAGCATTTTCGATTTGTATAAATGAAGTTCAATAGTAAACCATTTACAATTGCTTGCGTTAGGGGTGAAGAAAGCACAAATAAAATATATAGATAGAAACAAATATAATTAATAAAAAGAAAACTCTTAAGGGATATATCAAGTAGGTTACCAGTAACGAAAAACCGATTGTTATCGATTATGCAATTTTCTTTATCCATAATCAGCTAGATAATGTTTTCCGATCTGCGTTTGTTTGTGTTGCCTTAACCACATTTGAAGTTTATATTTATCTTGTCTTTTATTCTATATAATTTTTTTGGTCAAACTATTCAGTCACCGATTTCCACAATAAACTTATTTTTTTAACAATCAAATAGAATCACAATAAAAACTCATATTATATACATATATATACAAGTGGTTTTCGCCAACAAGTGTTTAACGAACACTAATTTGCATTTGACAGCAATTTGCTTAACTAACTTCCTATACATTTTGTAAATATTCACATGGTGTAATTATGCCTCTTTGTTTATATGCATAAATACTTACATATGTACAAGTTAATAGGCATGACATCATTATATATTACGGTCACGTCGTCTTCGTTTGTATAATTCGAATAGTCATCAAACAACTTTCAACAATGAAAACTGTGTACACATTTGAGTATAAATATGTACAAACATATTATACACTAAACATAGATTTTAGTTAAAAACAAGAAAACCCGTTAACTTCGGTTGCACAAAGCTTTAAAAATACAAAATTTTTCATACAAGAATTATATTTTGATCGTTCAGTTTGTATGACAGCTATATGGTATAGTAGTCCGATCTGAAAAATATCGTTACTGATTATATTGTTTTCTTGGATAATAATTCATTGCAACTTTTGTGAAAATACCTCGTCAAATAAAACATACAAAAACATTAGATCGGTCGCTTTGTATAGCAGCTATATGCTATAGTGTTCCGATATCAGCAGTTCCGACAAGTGAGCAGCTTTTTGGCGATAGCAGGATCTTCAGATTGATATCTCCAAAACTTGGAGATTAGTTCGCATAGAAATAGACAGACAGACGGACATGGCTAAATCGACTCAGCTCTCGTCACGCTGTTTATTTATATTTACATATACATATACGAGTATTTTTGGGATCACCAAACTTCATGGTAAACTTAATATACCCTGTTCAGGGTTTAATAAAATATGTACGTTTATATGTATGCATATTTGTATTTTAGGAAAACGCGTACAATTGAAAAACAAATATGTGCATATGTAGACAAGTGAAATTTATAAATATTTGGCGCTTGTAAAACAGCATTACTGTAAAATAAGTAGATGTATTTAAATGTTTTTCGACACAGTTTAGTAATAACTAAAATGTTAAATTTGGAATTAAAGTATTTTTCCAACAATATTCACATTTAAAATGCATATTTCTTCGGTGAGGAAATTTTTTCTTGTTCAATGACGAATTCGAAATTATGATTGACTTAATCCAATCAGATTTCTTGCTGACAGATTGCGACAGTGTCTATGCCACTTCTTTCTGACATCAGTCGTCCAGGAATTTTTTCTTATGACAAGTTGCGCTCCGTCTTAATGTAACCAGTAACCACCAAAAACATGTTAACAGATTTGAGAGCAGCAATAATAGACTAATACTCATCATAATTTCATCATTTTAGTTGTTTAAAGTCGTTATGCCAATTTTTATGATTCTGTCGGTTTGAGTGTTAAAAGTGACGACATTTAGTCGCTAATTTCCATTTGCTCTAGTAAACTTGATTTTTTTCGCCTGCAAATTATTATTTTATGCCGTTTTGTTGCCCATTGAATTTTAAACCACGCTAGCTCAAAAATCTACACGTTTTCTCTTCTCTCTCAATGCCGGCATTATTCATTTAATAAATACTAATACGAGTATAATATCTATATATTTCTATGAATTCTTAGCATTTATTAATGCTTTGCATTTGTTACACATATTTTTTTTTCTCTTGCTTGTACATATGTTTCTATTTGTGATTTAATTTTGGTTGTATTTCTTTTAATGTACGGAACAATCACATGTTTACCTTGTTCCTTTTGTTAAATTTTCCATTATTCATTCAAATGGTTTTTCTTCTTTATTTTTATTTCTATATTTATTGTGTATAAATTGAAATTGGAAAGAATTGGGAGTGGCCGCTAGATTTAATCACTTATTCTCTCTTCTCGCAGAATCACACGTTTTCCATTTGTTTGCTATCTATCTATTTTTCTTCACTCATTTCATTTTGTAGTTCTTTCACTTATGCTTTTGACTCGTGTACGCAATTTTTTGTGCATTTTGGGCGAATAATTGAAAGTACCGCGTGTGAATTGCTTTACTGCTGTTGCTCATCCATGCCAAATTTCACTAATCATTTTTATTAGTGTTGAGTGTGATGATAAATGATGAAAGCATGAGTGGAAAGAGGAAATTAGTTATATACATATATAATATTATGTATAGCTGTATGTAATCTTATGCACACATACATATGTATGTATCTCTTCATGAAAATATACAGTGCTGTTTGATAAACGTGTTCATGATCATTTACCTGCACTGATCTGTTTTTTGA